TGCCTATGCAGGGGGTCGGACTCGATGATCTATTGAGGTCCCTTCCGACCCTAGCATCTATGAATCTATTAATGTATGAAAGCTAAAAATAGGCATTTTTGAGAGCTGTCTTGAGAGCAAGCTTGAATCAGGTAACTGAATATAGATTAAAATATTTCTAGCTGAAAAGGAGGAGAGTTTGAAAAGACACACCAAAAAATGACAGGTCTTTAAGTGCAACAGCTATGTCAAGAGTTTTTCAAGCAGAAAATTTGGAACCAATAGGTACAATATTCTTAAATGATCAGAAAGCAAGTTTCACATTGATTGCCTGTTGAATTCTTGGCTAGCTAGGTAAAAATAAGTTATGAAGGAGAATGAGAAAAATCATTAGGAAGTAGAAAGAAGAGGGTTAGAGTCAAAGGTATGAATTCTCTTTTAGAGTGAATAGAATTGTATCACACTTCCAGAACCTAGAAAAACTAAAGCAGTTGGCAAAGACATGACTCTTCATAATGCCCAGACAGCAGAGCTAAGCAGATTTGGAGGTGGGGGAGGAGGGAGCTGTGCTCATATAAGGATAATGCAGTATATTGATCCCTACCTAGAAAGGGGTGGTTTGGAGGATTTGTTTCAGTGAAGTCTGAAATACAATGGCCATGTCTACATGTTCATTGTTTAGCAACCATCAATCCTTCTGGATCATGGGTATGCATAAGAGGCCACCCAGACCTTCAATGCATATGCCTAGGCAGGAATTTTGGAAGGGTGGAGGCTTCCTGGACCTTCCATTGCTCCTTTAGGCCACTGAGACAGAATCCAAAGGCCAGACTGAGTCCAGATGTTTGGTGCCTCCATGGCTGTATCTGTATAAGCATCTGGGAATTGAACCCAGGTCTCCTGTGGGGCAAAGAAGGATGGTACCACTGAACCATAGATGCCTCTAAATGTTCATTAATGTGCCATAATAATGGTGCGTTAAGTTTACAGATACTAACTTAATGTGCCATAATCAGTGCTACTGCACATTAGCTCAGGTGAACCTTTTTAGGTGATGCTTAATGCGCATTAGCAGGGTTTTTGAATGACACGTTAACGTGCAGTATAGTCCAAAGGGCATTAACTGCTTCGTGTAGATATGCCCCGTGACTTCTTCTTGCTATCTTGGGAGACAAAAGATCCTCCCCTACCCCACCTGAGGTAACCTGCCACACACCAGTGTGCATGGCACAGACATTCCCTAGGGACAAGTAGCAGCAGCACAAGGTGTGCTGCTCATCTCCAGGGAAACAAACATCCCCATTCATCTGGACACAGTCTAATACAGGGGTGGGCAATATGCAGCCCGGGGGCTGGATGTGGCCCATCAGGCCATTCTAGCTGGCCCACGGGGCCCCTAAAAATTTTAGAAAATATTTATCTGCCCCTGGCTGCCTGTCATGCGGCCATTGATGGCTTGCCTAAACTCAGTAAGTAGCCTTCTGCCCAAAATAATTGCCTGCCCCTGGTCTAATAGAACAAGTGCATCCCCACAGAAAGCATGTCTCTGTATCCTAGGACTAGATGCTTCTCCAAAACTTCTTTCCACAAGAGTTTTTTAGAGGTGAGTATAATTTAGTCCACAATCTTTGGAAGATGCACCCTTTATATTTTGCTTATCAGTAGAAGCAGCAAAGCTCACTGGAAAATAGTTTTGGTTCATGAAACAACTTTGAAGTTTTGCATGAAGAGAGAGACCCCTCCATACTTAGTTCTAGAATAGCCAATAATCTAGTTGTCAGGCACTCACCTAGAATCCCAGGTTCAAATCCCTCCTTGAATCAAAGTAGGATCTGTTACACAAGTGAGTACCCTAATGTTGGAGGCATCTCTTTAGAAACATTATCTAAAACGTCATTCACTTCATTAAGATACATTTTTGTGAACATTTCAATTTTGAAGAATTGGTATCTTCTGAGATAAAAATGTTTAATCATTTCCTGATGAGCTCTTGTGAATTCTTCTCCTTCCACTTCATTTCTCTCATCTCATATAAAATATAGAAATAACTAAGCCTGATATCTTTCTAAACAGAAATCATCTAGGTTTCATATTACTGAGACTTTTCAACAGAAATATCCTTCTAAGATAGACTGAACACTGTTCTAGCTTGAAGTCTAACGTGTCCTTTTCAATAGCAAAAGTATTATTTTTTATATGTCTGTACCAACACACTGAAAATCTTATATCTCCTGCATTCAGAGTGCTGATTATAAAGGCCTTTTCCACAGCAATGGAGAAGGTAAATTCTTAGCCAATATTATACTTGGTGTTCTCTGATCTCATTTTCCCCAGATCCTTCACTTTATTCTAGAAAAATGTAAAGTAAAAAATAAGCACTTGTGTTAGATATACAATTCAGACCATGATTTTAGAACTAACATGCTTTTTGCTACTTGAGGTTACTTTCAAGTGACAGATTGCACATGAAAATGTTACATGCTTCTCCAGTCCCAAAATGTTTGAACACTCTCAGCTGTGTATAGTTGCATTATTCTTGGCAATGCTGTATCTTCAAATTTGGAACTGTGCTATACCATCTTTGGTCCAGTAGTTTTATGACAAACATCAAGAACAGTGTTAAGGTAATCCACCATCAACTTCTCTCTAGATAAGTTCCTAACAAGGAACCACCATTAGTACCAGCAGCATGACAGCACCAAGGTGCCTTGACTGAACATAGGATCCTACTGAATATAAAAATATGACATTGGATTGGTTTTAGGCCCACCCCATTTGATGAGGGAGTAAGACTCAATGGAGTTGTCTTCAGCAAGGATCTATGAGAACTCCTTGAAGTACAGGCACGTCATCTGATGGGCACTTGACACGACTGGCACCTCTGGTTCTCAGACTACACTTTCACCCTAGCCTGTCTCTGATGCCAACCCTGGTTATTACCTGTAATGATCCTCATATATGGCCTGGTTTCAGTGAGACTTTTGGGTGTTCTCCTTGCCTCCGGTCAGAAAGCACTTTGGAGGCACAGGCATTTTTGGGGGTTATAGGTGGTACTGTGGTAGGTAAATGGGTGTTTGAGGAACTACACTTGGGAAGCCAGGTTTTGGGGTGGGGGCGCTTAAGAAGGCGGATGCCTTTGCACCTAGTACAGGTAGGGCAGTGATTATGACCCTTGGGCAGCATAGCTGGATTCAGAGGTGCCATCTAGAATGCAGCAGGGGAATGGAAAAGCAAAAAGCAGAGCAGCGTGGGATGTTGGCAGACTGACCAACTGTTTATCAGGCTGTGTTGAAGGGTAACAAATACCTCAAATGCTTCAGAATTCAGGTCAACTCTTAAGTGTTTCAGTCTGATTTGTAAGGCTTCACCACAGTATCTCATTTATACCTTCACTTCTGAAGAAGCTTAAAGGCATTTGGGGCACTACATGGTCACATCCAGACGAGCGCAGCTGTACAGTATGTGGTGCTTTAGACACATCTACGACACATGCCGTGTGTTCAGTTGTTCTCTGCGCTGCAAGGGAGCGGCACAGAGGGTTTTCTTGACCCCTGGATATCCAGGAGTCAAAAACACACGGGAAAAGAAGAGAGGCATGGCAGATGTAGCAGCAGTGTGCGCCAGCCAAAGCCACACACTGCTGCCAGCCAGGCTCTGTGTGGGAGGATCGCCATTGCTGCAGCCCTAGGAGGACCCCAGGTCCATGTATATCTTGATGTGGCCCATGTGTTTTGTCTGTCTATGCCCACAGGGCTAGCTCCTACCCCAGGAAGCCTAATGCAAGAAAGCATTAAGCCAATGTTACATGGAAGAAATTGAAACACAGTTCCCAAGGTTTCAGAGGAAAGTTATGCCAAAACCGAGCACAGAACTCAGATCCGAGTCCCAAGCCAAGGCCTTAACCACAAGACTGCTCTGATCCCTCTTTTTTCTCCAGTTGTGATGCTTCAAAATTCACTACATAGCCTGATAATACCTCAATCACGGACCAGAACAGAGCACTTAAAAAACTGCAAGTTTAATAATGGTTTACAAATGTACATTATTTACATTTGAATTTTACAAGTACATTCTTCAAGAAATGAAGACTTTGAGATTAGTAAATAAGTTTCTAAAAACTTTCACACAAACTAGAGAGTACTTTTTCAGTCATAAATTGCACTTATAACTGCATTCATGTGGCAATGATTTAAGTTGTGAAACATCTACCAGCTTAATTACAAAGACTTCTACAAGTTGAGCTCATTCTCCATATATCATGTAAAAGCAGTGAAATCAATAAACCCTTCTGTTAAATCAGAACAATTTAGGATGAGAGTAGCATTTGATCCATCATCTTTCATTTCTTTGTTGACCAAGGGTTACACCAAAATCTAACTAAAAACTGAAAATAAATTTATTTTCCACAATGTACACACTGATCCTTAACTTCATTGACTGTAACGCTTTTCAGGTATGCTGATTTACACCAGCTGAAGAACCAGCCCAGTATATTCTATTTTGACCATACTATACGAAATTGGCCCAGTAAAATAAACACTAATGGCATTATTATTAGCCCCATGATATCTTGTTCAGGATGGCTGGCCTAACTAGCCACTTGACATATTAATCATGAAATTATCTTCAACTTTTAATGGAAATAATAAAAGAGAAGAGTTTACTTTATTTTCAGGACATTCTAACTTGCAGATTAGCCAGCTGCTATAGGAGACTCTTTCTTCATCTTGTGTAGATCATACTGTTATTTAATAGAAATAGACTGACCCTAATCTCTCCAAATTGCTTGTATTTGCACTAGTTTTCTGATGCGTAAGCTTATTTCAGTCAGTGAGTGTTAGATCCTGCTTTGAAAGCTGAATTTTTAGGCTTCAACTTAGCATGAGGTATGTTTCAAGTTTATTAAAGCCAGTTTGAGAATAAAAGCAGTTACTATAAAATGGCTGAACACACTCACTTTCTTGATTACAAGAGCTTTCTAATAAGTAAGAAAAACACAAAAAAATAGAAATAGGCAAATAAACTTTAAAGGGCTTTAATCCTTTTAAAAAATACTTTAATTATAACTCACATGAATTTTAAACCACTCAATTGCAATATGCAATAGTACTAGAGAGAACAATACTGAACCTCACTGGAATAGCTGCTAAGAAAAAAGTTCTCTGAACTGTAATCCTTTTATAAATGAAAGTAAGCAAGTGCTTCAGTGATCTAACAAAGGCTTCAAAATATCTCAGGAAGGAGGTAAGAAAATATCAAAATCAGGAATCACGGATCATTTTAAGACAGTAGGTCAGTTCCTTCATTGATTTTTTTAGTTAGCAGAAGAAAAATCCAAAACGAAGTTCAAGTATTATTGAGACATGCCTGCATTCTAGATTTTCGTCGGGCAAGAGCTTCTTGCTTTTTTTTTTCAATCTCTGCTTGAGAGCATTTTCTATTTTTCTGTTCCATCACAAACACTGCAAATATAAAACGTACATTAGAGACATTCATGTTAAAATGTATACTGGCCTAAGCTGCCCATCTTGAACGTCTGAAGATATGCAGCACACCAGACTAATACACGAGGAACCAAAATTAAAATGGCTCACTATTTTCCATCCTCAAAGACAGAAAGGAACACATGTATGACCTTTGAATGACTACTGCCTGCTATCTCCCGAAGTATTAGGCAGTAGATGTTTGCTTAAGGGAAATTTTACCTTAGTGCCCTTGAAATGAACCTTATAATCAGTGGTCAACCAAGATGATAACAGATTTAAAAAAGTTGAGGGTATCAGGATGAAAAGGGCTTAACAACTGACTGCATTAGGCAGAGATACTGGCATAATAAAGTTTGTACAAAAATGTGGGCTGGGTATAGTAGTGGTGTAATACAAAGAAACAGAAAGGTTGAAAAAAAAAAAAAAAAAAAAGGTAAAAAGCAATAATTGTTAATAATTGTTTTCCAACTATTTAAGCTGGTCTAATAAAAGATATCGGATTCACCCAAAGACCCTTGTCTGCCTATGTCCTTAGACCACCACAGCTACAACCTACACCACTGTAAAAAGCAATAAAATACTCTACAAAGGAGGCAGGGACACAATATTTAAGTATAATGTTTTATGTACTGTCTTACAAAATTGTATGCACTAGAACTCAGCTGTACTGAAATCAGTGGGAAAACTTCCCATGCCTTCAATATGTCCAGTATTTCACCAACAGTGCATAAGATGCTTTGATTTCCTACTAATATAGTTGGGAACAAATGGCCTTATAACTCAGGGAAAATAAGATCAAGGACAGTAAGACGAAGAGCATAAGGTCAGTCAAACAAATGTGGAAAAGTCTAGATGCAGATTGCTATGGAGATTATATATCATGATCTTAATTCTGAGGTTAATGCCACAGTAACAAGACCCATTCAAGAATTTAAAAAAGGAAGATTGAATCATAGGATACCACCAGAAAAATAACTGAACACAGTACCACAAGTTCTGTATGCTGCTCTTGTCCAAATTTTCTACATTTTAGTTAAAGAATAGCATATGCTGTCAATAGGTCCAAGCATTACTACTATGGAAAGCTATTTATTTCTTAAAGTTGACTCCCTAAAATAGTAAATCAGGAAATGTCACAGAAAACAAATACAGTAATTTACACGAATTCGCCAGCAAAAATATGCACAATTATCTTGAAGGCCAAAGGCTACTGTCATTGAAGCGCTGAAAAATTATTTTGGCCAGAGAATTCTCCAAACAATGATACCAATGACTGTTTTTCCATTGTTTGGTCTACAGAAAAGTCTGGATTTTTTTTTGTAGTATTTAAGAGTGTTGCTTCCTATTTATCTGGTTGCACAGGAAGAAAAAGCAGGAAGTACAGATACCTTGGAATAAGAGGTGTTGAACAGCATGACACTTTTTGTAACAGTGTTCTTAAACCTGGAGATTGACATACGTTTTATCAGCAGTCTACTTTTACAACATCGGCTCTTCAGGTTTCACCAAAATTTAATACTGATAAAGGTTTACAAAACCATTCAACATACTAAAAGTATGAGCCAAGTATGCCAGCTCTCAGCAGGTTTCTCTAGTAAAACTGATCTCAACACAGAACTTTGTAGAGAAATGCGACAGGGGAACACCAACTATGACTTTTGGTGAAATAAAGGAAATACGTAACTTTTTAAGATACATTACATGGTGAATGATACATTTAGATGGTAATTTTTGGCACATGCCAGATATTGCTGCTGGCCAAGACTTTCAGAATTTACTAGTGATTTGAGGTGTCAGTTTCCAGATGCCCAAACTGAGACGCTCAGCATTTACCAAGGGAAATTCTGAGCCTTTAAAGAAGGGGTGCTCAATCTCCAGCCTGCGAAGCTGTATCACTTAGCCCACAGGGCTCCCCCCAAGGGTCCAGATATTTCAGGGGAATGGTGGCAGCTTTAAGTGCCACTGCCCTGCTGCTGAATTTCTGGCCCTGTGGGTTTGGATATCATGGCCCAGCACACCAAATTGCATTGGTGTATGACCAGAGCCAGTAGGTAGGGAGTACAGGGTGGCATACAATTGGATCAGGCCCCCAGAATGACCCCATGTCATTCATCTGGCCTGTGGGGCCAAAAGGTTGGATACTACTGCTTTAAAAGTATCTCATATTTGACAGCCCAAAACTTAGAAACCTAACAGTACTAACCTCTTTTAAAGGTAGTCCTGGCTGAAGTATTATGAATTTTGACATTTAATTTGCAGTTAATATTCAAATTTTAAATCTAAGTATAGACACTGAGCAAACTGCAGGACATTACTGGGCAATGCTGCTGACATCAAGATACACTGATTCTGAGCACTTGTGAATAGGGCCAAGTATTTAATAAGCAAACAAGAAGGGGAAAACAGTTCTTCAGATAAAGTCAAAAGATTTCTCAAAGACTATTTCAATTAAAAAATAAAAATAAAAAAAATCAGTAGATCTGGATAGCAAGCCTGATAATTTTGGAACAATGTCATCATCCCTAATCTAAATGGGATAAATACTTACAATAACTAATGAGCAACACCTCAATAACATCTGAACATTAGAATACAAAGTTTATTTTTGGCAATTTGATTTTTAAAAAATATTTTAAAAACAGAAACATACCTGTTGTAGACTGTGCAAAAGAGTCTGAAACCTGCCTCTTAAAAGGTGGTTTCTGATTAATTTCCATCTTCCCATGGAAAGGGACATTTAGTTGATTCTTGCTGTCCTCTAAACCATGTTGAGGAACTCTGATTCCTGAACTGCCTTCTATAGTTTTAGGATCTACATGAACAGCAGCCTGAGAAGTGTTAATCTTTTTGAATGTAAACTTTGAAGGCACAACTGACATTTTATTTGACATTTTGTTAATACAACTGTTATTTTGTATCTTTCCGGTGTTATGTGGAAGATCTTGGCTGTGCAACCCTTTACTATTAAAAGCAGTAATACGTGTGTTCAATGTACTAATTGGACCAATTTCAGAATCACATCCTCCTACAGGCACTGAATTAGACCTAAGCCATTTTCCAGGAACATTATTTGTTCCAGGAGCAGTTTGTTTATAAGTCTGAAAATTCGTATACTTGGGTAGTGTAGGAATGTCTGTGACTGAAGCTCTAACATTTGACAAGTTTCTACAGTTCACGTTTCCCACTGTAGTCAGTCTGTCTGTAACCTTTGAGTAGTTTGTATGAGCAGTGTCTAATGAAATAGTTTCCTTTTTTATGTTGATTCTTTCTGCTAGTGGGTGATCAGACGGTCCTTGTTTAGATGCTATAAAACTGTTATCAGCACTAGATCTGGAATTAATATTGGTTCCTTGTGTAATTTTGTCTCTTTCATTTCCTTGTTTAATGTGTTGGCTTTGAGTCTGCTTTTCCACATCATCACACACCTGATACAATAATTCATCATCCTCACAGTTTGTGTCCCAAAGACTATCAGATTCACAAAACATATCTAAAACTTCATCAGAGAACTTAGGCTCATTCCAGTCATCAAATGACACAGAACATTTCTTTGGCAATTCAGCCTGGTTTAGGTGACCTGTACTGGCTTGGCTAACCACTTTCACTAGATCATTAGGTTTTGTATTAGTAGAAACATTGGATGATTGATGAAAAATATTGTGTGTCTTATTTCCATATTTTCCAGTCTGTGCTCTATGTGGATTAGAGTGTACAAAGACTGAAGAGGATCCTTTTACAGGAAAATAAGTAGTGAAGCCACTTTTTGACTGAATACTTTCCTTTGCATTAACTCCAGACTGTACTGAAATAGGAATATGGTCAGAACCTCTATTTGGAGCACCTTTTCCAGCATAATTTATTCCATCACCTTTAACATCTTGCTTCCCATACAAACTGGCTTTTTGTAGCTTTGAATTTTCTGTTCCATTACTTGGCTCCTGAAAAGGAAATGAATTTGTAGTATCCTGTATGGTTTTACTATATTGTTTCAGGGGCACATATTGAGAACTGCTGGACTTGGCTGAAATACCAGCTATTGAATGAGAACTATTTGGTTTGTGTTTAGCTTGACTAATGCCATTAAGAGAGTCTGTACATGTTTTAGTAGTTGGTGATGCATTTTCTGTACTTAGCAGTTCAGGATTTTGAGTAATTTGCATTATGAAGGAGTCATCTGCCAATAAATCACTATCCCACTCATCGAAATCATCATGAGCTATTTGAGCAGGTTTACTGGAAGCCACTGATTCCGTCTTTGAGGAAGCTATATTTTGCTTTGGCAGCAAATAGATATTAGTTTCTGGAGCTGCAATGTGGTTACCATTTCCTAACATAGTGGTTGAGTTTTGCTTTTGACATCTCTCTTCACCAACATGTCCCTTTGTTTCTGTCATTTCCTGAGAAATGCATTTCTCTTCTTCCAGGGTACTTTTCTTCTCATGAAAACAATTATTTAAGGAAATCCCCGACAGGCCTTGGCTGAATTGTCCACTGCATTTCTGAGTAGAACAATCAAATAGGGCACGAAGGGCTAATTCAGCCTCAAGGTCTACAGACTTCTGACTGCTAGTATGAAAGTACTCCATTACACGGATGTCAGTGCTCTCTCTAACTGGTTTTAAGGACAGAGTTGCATCTGCTTCAGGAACTCCATTCAGGAATGACTTCAGATTTTTTATCTGTACATCATCTTTAGAATTATGTAGAGCCTCTGCCTCTGAGGTAGTCTGGAGAAAATCATGGCAATGAACTTCTTGGTCCTGGACTGCATCTAGCTCAACCAGATTTTTATCAAATTCCTCAGCCAATTTCATAAGCTCCTCTTCACTATTCTTTCTTTTAAGAACTCTAGATGAAAATACACAGATAAGTCAGGAATACTAATAAATATTTCACAAAGTCTAATCACTTTATACCGATAGCTGTTTACTCTACAGTTTAATAAGTTTAGCAATCTCGGATATTCAGTGAAAATGTTCTCATGATTCATTTAACAGTCAATACATAGTGCTTTACTCTCACCAGTAATTCCTCACTTTAAAAGATTACAAAGCAAATGAAAAAGGCACTACTGTGTGTTCTCTGCACTAGCATATAAGCTACCCCTTCATTAACTCAATGAAATACTGCTCTTCCTTTCATGAAAAACATGTTTTTTGCTGGGCAAGCAGAAATGACTTTGAACGTACCTTGTTCCATTTAATGCTGTCCTTGCTACTGCAGGTGTGCAGGGAATGGCATTTTCACCAATCCATGTGTCTAGAAGAGATCCTTCATAACTGGCTGGTTTTTCATCCTGAACAATTAGATTGAATTGGTACTACTTAATTTGATTTAAGAGGAGGAATCTGCTATACACACAGTTTATGCCAGTTTAAATTTTATACAGTGTTTAAACTGATTAAAACTGGTGCAAATATCGCTGAAAGCCAACAGGTCAAGTTACTGGTATCAGTGTCCACATGCAAAAAAACTACTGTTGAACATCAACTGCTAAAAGCCACAACTTTAGTTAAAATGGTTCAACTCTGTATGCAGGCATGGCTGAAGATAATATCAGATTTATAGGTAAAACACAACAATGTGAACTTTTAGCATAGAATGGTCAGTGTTGATTTATTGTTTTAGCTTGTTTCGTGTACTTATTTTACATTTTCCAATTTGCTACCTAAGACACGCTACATTTGTTTACTTATCAAAGAAGAAACAACAAACCAGAGAAACTGAGCAAATCTTCTCTGGGCTCTTTTTGCAAGAGTGAAAATTCTGAATTATTCCATTTTACTATTTTCATATGGAAGCGTTCTGAACAACTAAAAATATCCAGAATTCAGAAATTAAACAGAAATACTGTTCAGCACTTGGGTTCACATCTGGACCTGAATGCTCTCAAACTTTTAAGGTATGAGACATGCAAAATCAGAATTACACACAAGCCCAAACAACTACTAAAAAGTACTGAACATACAAGAATATTGTGAACCAGCTAAAGGAAGTAACTTGAGCTTTACTAACCAGAAAGGGAGAAATGTTTTTATTTTAGAATGAAAATTAACTGGTGGCAAAAACAAAAGCAAACCCACAACTCTGTCAAAGGCCTAATGCTGAATTACTGTATCTAATTGAATATAAAAGATGACCGTGATTCTATAGATGGAAAATTTATAAATGTTATAATTTTCCAGGTAATTAATCTAATTATTGGAGGTTTGCCTTTAATTTGTCTCCCTCCCACTCCTACAGCAGGGAAAGTAAATCTGGAGGATCAGGCATCCCCTTTGCTCTCTGCTTCCCACCCCAACTGTTTCCCTTGGCAGTCCCTCCCCCTTCTCGCCTCTTCTTACTGTCAGCCCCTGCTATCCTTGAGCACATAGAAGTGAGGAACAAATTGAAAACAACCTTGAAATTAAACATGGTTTTAACAATTTACATATAGTACCAATTCACTCAATTCATCTGGAATTGATGCATGTTATGCTTTTTGAAACTGCTGTCAGTTTTAGCACAGGTACTCCATGTGCTCCACTTCTGAGCAGCACTTTGGCACCTACTTATACGTAGTACAAATTCTGTGTGATATTAGTCCAAAGCCAAAGGCTTGTAATTTACCATATACTCATGACTGGAACCAGGTGTTCGTGTCATGAATCCTGGGATGCTTCAAAAAATTTATGCAGTTGAGGCACAGGGCAACCTCGTCCAGCTTCACTTCACAGAGGGCAGGACTACATTAATCTTATGTGCCAGGCTGAGAGAGTGGGGTGATAGAGGGATTCCGAGTTAAATGTTCATAGCTCCATTTAGTAACGTTTGCCAGACATTTAAGGCTTGTGAAGAAACAGGAATCATTTGAAAAGGCACAGCTCAGCTGTGGGAGTGAAGAGGAAGTCAAAATGTATGCAATTTAATGGCTTACCATGACTCGAAAGAGTTGATGGTAAGGAGGAATGTGCTTAACGGGCACTACCACTTGTCTTATTCAGATGGGCTACATTAACCTATTCTTGTGGTAGGTTCCCATCGGCACATTTGCCCAACGTGGGTCATCAGTTTAGTAGTAATGCTTAGTGTTGTCTGCATTTAATCAACTTCGCAGTTGGTTTCCATTGCTGAGCACATGCTGCTTATGGCCACAGTTTAATGATAGCCAATAGGGCTGTGCGAAATTTCGATGGCTGTTTCGATGCATTTCAAGCTCAAAACAGCAAAATCGAAAAAAAAGGATTCAGAACAGCTTTGAAACAAAATGAGGGCACTCAAAACAGCCTGTTGGTGGGAGGCGGAGGAGAGCCAGGACAACGTTCCGAGTGGCTCTGCCAGCCCCACGGACCTCAGCTCGGCAGCGGGAGGGCCAGTGGCACTCTGAATGCAGCCCTGGCTCGGAGCGCAACCTAGTGGTGGGAGGCTCCGTAGCCCCATGGAGCTGAATCTGGCAGCAGGAGGTGGTAGAGAGCCAGTGGTGGAGCCACTCCAAGTGCAGCCCTGGCCAGTGGCTCTCCACCACTTCCCACCGCCAGGCTCAGCTCTGTGGGGCTGCGGAGACTCCTTCTGCTGGGCTGTGCGTGCCAGGGCTGAGCTCCGAGCAGTTCCACCACTGGCTCTCCTACCTCTGGGCTCAGCTCCATGCGGCGGGTGGAGCCACTTGGAGAGCAGCCCTGAACATATCTTGGCAGTGGGAGGCTCTACAGCCCTACAGAGCTGAGCCTGGCAGCGGGAGGCGGTACAGATCAAGTGGCAGAGCCCCTCTGAGCGCAGGCCTGGCCAGTGGCTCTCCCCCGCCTCCCGCTGCCAGGCTCAGCTCTGTTGGGAGGAGTCTGGCATAGCCACACAGCCCTTGTGGGCGTGCAGGCCCCCAGAGCTGCATGCAGCATGACAGGAGGTTGCCACTGCTGCCTAGGGCCAGCAGCAGCAGCACCAGTCTTCCCGGCACTGGGCAAGGGCTGCGCCCAGCATCGGTTGCAGGCAGCAGCCTCCTGTCACCCACAGAAAGATCCGGGGGTTCACACCCCCAGGAGTCCAGCATGGCCCCATAGCCCTCCCAAGGGTACGGGCCCCCAGATCTGTGCATGGGATGACAGCAGGCTGCCGCTGCTGGCAAGTGATATGAGTTTTGCTTTCAACTGTTTGAGGTGCAGTTTCACAACAACCTCTGCACCTATCTCCTTGAAATGTGGCAGGCTTCATGCCCTCAGAAGGGGCTACCATCTCTGCAATTTTCATCCAAATCAGGCAATAAATGCCAAAATTATAGGCATTTTCATGATTCCCCATTATAACCTATGGGTGAAACGTCAATTTCGTCGAAACAGCAAAACAGTTTCAATGAAACGAAATGGAACAGTGGTTCAAAACTAAACCAAATGACAAAATGAAACACTGTCCCTTCAAAAGGGCAAAATGGAAGTTGAAACAAAACAGTGCTGTTTTGCACAGCCCTAATAGCCAAATTTATTTAGTGAGATTCTTTTCTATGTGATTATGAGGGGCATGTTCCCCCATGCCAATTGGGGGGGGGGGGGGGGGGGGAATCTCATTTTGTATTTGAGTAAATACAGTAGATTATACTTTCTAATAAAGATCATAAATTATAAAACAGCAGAAACAAGTCACAAAATGGGAAGGAACAGGTAGTATTTTTTTCTGTTAACAATGAATTTTACATGCAAAATTATTTTCCAAATATTAAGTTTTGAAATACTGAATCCATTTTCAATGTAAATTATAGAAACATTATTAGAAAAAGACTTATTTTGTGTCTTATGAGTAATAAAAAACAAAGTATGGTTCTGCTATTAAAATAGGTTGTTTTTCCAAGTTCTCTTTCTGATCTATAGACATCAGTTACAAAAGTGCACTGGAATTCATATGATAAACTGACTTGACCTCAAAATAAACATGATTAAGTTAATTTATCAGAATAATTAAAACATTTAATTATGTCAAAACTATTATGCAGTCTTTCCATCTTGTTCCAGTATTACATGTGGACTTTCGCAGCCTTTATTTCAAGTTAAGTTATATGAAGGACATACTAAGACTAGTTTTACCTGTGGGAAAAAGCTCCGCTAGCCGGAAGGGTTATGTTCATGATAGGGGGCCCTAACATTATATTTAAAGCTGCCCCTCACAGTATAGACATAGCCTAAGTCAGGGCTGCTCAACTGTGGGCTCCCGCCTAGGCACTGCTCTCCACATTGCTGCTGCCGTGGCCATGCTCCTGCTCCCTCCTCTAGCTTCTGCTTTTTGCCGCTGCCCCAGGGCAGGGTGAGCCTGTGGGGCTCAGGAAGCAGGGATAGTTTACAGGGTATGCAGTCAGTGTAGAAGTCAGAGAACCCTGGCCTAAGTGGTTCACCCACATATTTTTTTCCTCCTCTCCACTGCATTTGTGCAAACCTTCTTCTAACTTTACATTCACCTAAAATTCAGGTTTGATAGTGCCAGGTCTCAGTTGTAAAGCCACATGTAAAGGCCAGAAGAAGACTGCAAACTGTATGATTTTCATGCTGCTTCCTAGATTTATTTTTAATTCTAAGCCCAGAAATAATTTCAGTGAATGGATCCTTATGAGACTTTGAAAAACCTACACCAATGGTAGGTCTCTGAGCAGCATAACCAGCTCCAATAGGAAGCATAGTCCTACACACGCAAGAAAACAGTGGTGGAAAGAGAATAAAACTGAGAGAGAGAGAAGACAGGAGAAAACAAGGAAGAGCAACAAAGGAAATAAACTGAGTTCTGTAGAAGAAGAAACAAAAAATAAATCCAACTAAGAAAAAATAAAAGAAGAAACTGAACTGAAAAAGATACTAAAGGCAAGAAAAGCTCTTTCAAATGAGCTCTAACAGCCCAATCTGGGACTAGGATGGTCAGGGTCAGTCAAACATGTAAGATCATTTGCAGAAGCAGTTATTTTATAGGTACAACATGGATGTAAAGCTTAAGGTACCCAAAAATAGATAAATTTTGATCCTTTGATTTAAATGAAAGGTATGGTTATCTCAACTGTATTATGACAAATGAAAAGAGAAGCTACCGAGTAAATATGGTATGCAAAGAAACTTTACAGAACAGAAAAGTGGTAGAAGATGACTGCTACTGCATTTTCTACAAATACTAAACCAACAGCTCTCAGCTTGAAGTTAGTTAAATCTTTTTTTAAATTAGACCGGTACCACATTATTTCACACAACTAATTTCTTAACTGAAAAATATAAAGTGTTTTAGGATATAAAGTCAGAGGTTTTACAAAAAGAAATATAGATTAGCTAGTCAAATACTATGCCTGGAACTTTTATTCAAGCCAATTTTAAGAATTATGTTCCCCCAACCTCCATATCTGCATCTGCCTTTTACTCTACTACATATTACCAGAAGTAAAATTGTTTTTTCACATTGTTTTGCAGAATCAGCCTATCATTACACTATTTTACTCTTTAATTACTGCATAAGCTGTGAAGTATTACAAAGGAAGTGATAATTACCCGAGGAGCAATACGATTAACAATATCTGAAATTTCAACTGTACATCTACGGGTAGTACATTTCTTTTTTTCATTACCTGTAAGAGATAAAACACAGTAAAAATCATGAGATATTACAATTACAGCAGTATTCCAAAGCAGAAGTAAATCATACAAATATAAAATGCGTAACTTTCCTCAGTGCCATATCACAGCATTTCTGAATAAAATACCATGCAACTTAACATGGCATTAAGTGCTTCTTTTTGAGACAGATCCAGAAACACTGAGTACAGACCTTGGATATGTTTAAAAAAATTAATATTGACCTATGAAAAAGCAGAGTACAAAGAAGAACTTTTTGGTGACAATTACCTAGTTGGTGTGCAATTGGTGAATGAGGATCCCAAAAAATTTCATGCTGTATATCGGTATCGTTGACAGGAGAACTGAAGGTAGGTAACCGTGATCGGCTATTCAGGGATCTCTTTGGAGTCTTATATATACATGGCTCTGTGTGAATATACATTAAGATTACACATATCAAAATATTAACACTGACAAAGAGAGATCAGATGCTCAAAAAAACAAGACCAAATGAAGGATCAAGCAAACACTTCATAAGTCTTTAGAATGGAATCATTTACTTTCTCCATGTTTCTTTTTAATTCTCCATGTTTCCTTACCAATTTCAAAGGTATAGAGATCAAACTATGACACTATACTTATCAGTACTGGGTTATCTATCATTACTAGAGTGAACCCATTTTCAAAAGGTATGACAGGACAGACATCAAGATGTTTGGTACCTAACTGTAGGAACAAAAACAGTCAAATACCATTGCCCAGATCTGCAGAAGTGTATTGCATCACTAGCATCATCCATTAATAAAAAGGCTAAGACTAAGCTTGAGGGTATCATTTGGTGGAGTGGAGGTTTCTATCTTATTCTTTGCCCCTCTGCTGCTGAATATTTTAATGCAGGTGAGGTTGTAACTGTCACCCCCACAAGCAGTGCTTATCACTGGTTACAGTTTTCTATTTGCAAACACATCTCTAAATTTACTTCTGGGGATTGACAGCATATACACTAAACCAAGGACATGGAGCCTGCTTTATCCCATCCTCCTCCACACGCTCAAACTCATATCTGACCCAGTATTTATAATTAATGAGATTCAAGTGCTGCTACACATGATACAACCAAAGACATTCTAATCTTTCAATCGCTAAGCATTTTCAGACAAGAAATGAAGAGGCCACAGCTATTCAAGAACAGTATACCACAGATGAACATGGATACAATGAAAAACTGAATAAATGACATGAATTTTGTTTAATCATGGCTGCCTTATAGAAGTGGAATTAGTGGTGTTGGAGGCATGGTCACAGCCTACAGGAATAAGGGAATTAAAAAAAATGCACTACACTGTTAAAACTATTGTCACAAAGGCGTTTTAGGTTTAGAATACAAAGGGTGCCACAACATTTAGCACCTCTCATAATAACAAAAACTTTAATCACACATTCACTCTTAAACCTAGAGGTATTAGCACAAAGAAAAGATTGCTCCTTGCTCTGCAGGAAGCATTCCTTTCTGGGTGATCTGGGCCAGTGCCCACAACGTCAGAAGAAACTAAATATTTGCAAAAGGGAAAATGGGAGAAGTGAGCACCTATAAAATGACAACTCAACAGGTCTCAGCCCATTTCACTCTAACTAAAAAGAACAAAACCTAGGCCTATATCTGACAAGTTACTTCACACTGAAGTCATATAAATGTGATCCCATTAACTTTGGTGGAGGCTCTTTCATGGATGCTGAAATCTATCTCCCTAAAACAACTTTTAGGATTAGGAATAGGTTACTGAAATGCTTTCCTATTTAGATCCATGGTATGAAATGGAAAATGGACTAGGCTGTAGAGACTTTTTCTTCAAGGAAAGAAGGCATAAAAAAAAAAAAACAACCAAAAAAAAACTTCAGCAGAAGACCCTCCAGCTCCACTGCACAGCTCAGCTAAGTTACACATTCAAAATAAGTCACCTGAAGCCACATCATGCTGTGACTTTCTGAACAGAGGCCATATTTATACAAAGGTGTGAGGTTCCTCCCTCTCTCCCACTCTTGCTTGATGGAGATAACACAATTTGGCCCCAAAGCAGTGAGAGATGCTGCTGATGGGGTTCAGAAATGACCAAGGATCCTGAGGGGCCGCATTCCCTCCATTTTAACAAAGACTCTGGAAGCAGCTGAAGCCCTTCAGAAAATTAATTTCATGTTGAGTGTGGGCGCCTGAGCGCATGCATGTATGTTTGTATAAATATATGGGGGAGGAGCGGGGATGAAGGCGGGCAAGACGTGCAAGCTGCTGTCAGGAGATGCATGTACCCATCGGCTTGGCGATGAATCTGACATCTGGACAGCACCTGCATTGGCAATACCTCTCTCAGAAAATATCGTTATTATTAATGCTAATCACGATAATAATAAATCATACTAAATAATGATAGTAAGTCATACTAAATAATAATGAAGGGACAGGCATAGTCTGTCTTGGTGTTAGCTTGGTGATGATATCTGACATCTAGTCACCACATGCATAGACAATACACAACTCTCAGAGAATAATAATAATAAATACTGGTAATAAATATTAAATAATAATAAATACTAAATAATAATAATAATGCGGGACAGGCATAGGATGCTTGGCTTTAGGTTGGTGATATCTGACATCTATTTACCATGTGCATAGGCAACGCGCAACTCTCAGAATAATAGTAATAGCAACAAATAATAATAATACATAATGCTGATAATAAATTATACTAAATACAATTAAAAAATAAATAATAATAATGCAGGGATGGGCAGTGTCCGTCTTGGTGTTAGCTTGGCCATGATATCTATCACCATGTGCACAGACAATGCACAACTCTCATAGAATAATAATAATAACAACAAATAATAATTATGCTGATAAATGATACTAGATAATGATAATAAAAAATGATACTACATAATAATAAAAATGCAGGGACAGGCATAGGATGCTTGCCATTAGCTTGGTGATGATGTCCAACATGTAGTCACTGTGTGCATAGCCAATGCACAACTCAGATAATAATAATAATGAAGCAGGGACAGACACAGGCCACTTGGCCCGAGCTTGGCAATGGCAACGGCCCCAGACCCAACACCTGCAGAGGCCACCCCTAATCATGAAGCGATGACGTTGTTATTACTATTACGATCAGCGGCAGCAGCAGGGGCGGGCGAACACGGGCCCAGGCCGCCTATCCCCGGCCTTGCCAGGCCGCCTG